AACATCATCGGCAAAAAGGAGCATAAGAAGTTCAAGGATGTCAGGATACATCTGTATACCATGCTTGCCGTTACTTGAGATTTCATAATATAATTCGCTTATGAAAAACGAAAATAACAGAGGACTCAGTATACATCCCTGACGTAAACCAGATGGGCAATCGATAAAATCAGTAACACCATAATCACTACGTACACATGACTTGATATTTGAATACATTGATTGTATTATATTAAACATCTTCCCTTGTAGTCCAGCTTTTCTTAAACAACACCATAATTTATAACGATCAACTGTATCAAATGCCTTTTTAAAATCAATAAAAGCAACGTAAACCTTGTGTTTACGACGTGTTAGACATTTTTGAATTGCAGCATATAATGTAAAAATATGATCTACGGTTGAATAATTTTTTCTAAAACCAGCTTGAACTTCCGGTATCTTATCTCTCATATTTGCCCAGTTAGTAAGCCTGTTATTCAAAACAGAGGTAAAATTTTTCCCCAGAACACTCATTAATGAGATCCCCCTGTAGTTGTCAGGGTTTCTCGGATCGCCTTTTTTATGTAGAGGGACTATTTCTGAACAAGACCAACTGTTTGGAAATATTTGATTATCAAAGAGTTTGTTGAAACATTTATGAAGAAATGGCATAATATCTAATTGGGAACATTTAAGCATTTCTATCAGCACTTGATCGGGATTTTCCTTTTTTTAACTTATTTATTGATGATGTAATTTCATGTTCAGTTATCGTAGAATTTAGTATGAATGCATCAATATCTGTAAACTGATTAGAACTGAGTTCATTTTCATCATCTAAGTGAGGAGAAAAAACATTGTCATTTGCAAAAACCTCTCTAAAATGGCACAGCCATTCTGCTTTCGTTATATGATTCTTCTGTCTGGGTTTGTTTTGTAATGATCTTATCTGTTTCCAAAAGCTAGATTGACTATTTATGCTTCTATGCAATCTTTCAACTGATTTCTTACGTGAAATGGATTTAAATTTTCTGCAACAAAATTTATAATGATTTCTTTGTCTACAGTACACAATTCTGTTAGCGACTGTTCTTTGTGTTCTAAATCTCCTAAGTGCCCTACGTGTTTCTCGTTTCGCTTGTCTACATTCTAGACTTAGTGGTTTGTGATTGGCAAATTGTGGATTATGTCGTATTGTCTTTTTCATGCAGTTAGCAGAGTCTAATACAATGTCGACAAAGTGGCTAATTGCGTTTTCAATAGCATTATCAATTTCTTTAAGGACCATTTCTTTGTTTTCAGTAAAATTATATCTCAGGTTATCAAGAAACAAACTGGAGTAATGATCATTCCATATAATTTTCTCTGATGCTTGTGGATCCATACATGAATCATTATTGCACCTCTTACCCATATTTGGAAATCTACACATCAATTCTAATGGAAAGTGATCAGAATCAGATCGATCACCGACAGTGAACATATTGATAAACTGAAAAAAATCTGGTGAACTTATAAAATAATCGTTCACACTAGATCCATGTTGGCTACAATAAGTAAATTCCCCATTAGTATCACCATATACACGTCCATTTACGATGTAAAGTTTAAAAACATAGCATAAATCCAACAACATTTGACCAAATCTATTTACAACTGTATCCTGTGAAGTACGATCCTCAACAGGGTCATCCTCCTCCTCAGGGAAAGGGGAGGTGTGATTGAAGCTATCATCATTATTGCTAATATCAGGGTTATTTCTCTCACCTGTTCTCGCGTTCATATCTCCACAGATTAAATTGTATGAATTTGAAAACATTTCATCATTATCTATTAAGAATTCTTCTACTTTTACAATGTTACTATTGGTGTTTACATGATTATAATAAGGAGACCCCATTGGAGGGATATAGGTACATAACAAATTCACATTTTTGTCAATTCTAAATAAATCTTTAGATAACGAGAGACCAATTATGTTGTCTCTATCTGCTTGTATAACATTACAGAAACTACTCAGTGATTGACGTACACACAGACAAATACCACCTGATAAACGTCCATAGTTGGATAACTTAACTGCAGGACAGTAAAAAGTATCATATCCATGTAGCCAATGTTTTCCTGGAATATTTACAACAAATGTCTCAACAAGGCACACAATATCAAATTTACTGATGTAAGTTAAAAAGTCAACATCATTTATTTTGCTGAGAAGACCACCAATATTCCAACATACAAAGGAGAACGCGTCTCTGTTGACATCAGTAACACTGTGAGCGCGAGTATCACCGGTGTGCACATCGGAGGTTCCTTGTGGGAGATGATCCGGGCCATGGCCATTGTGCTATTTCCCAGGGCGCGACTTACTTCTGTTTGGTCGAAGTCTGTCCGACATTCGGTTTTCTGAGTCTTGATTTGTAGATCCACGTTGGTCAGCCGACGTACGAGGCATCGTAACAAGCTTGCCATTCTTGAAGAAGCCGAAATTTCCCGTTCCTTTTAGGGCTTGCAATTGTTCGCGTTGACGCGTGGTTAAATCACTTCCAATTCCAAGTCCATTCGATTTAAATGTCGCTCTGGCTTTCAATGTTCGTACCTTGTCGTCGGAGAGTACCAGTTTTGCAATTATTGGTCGTGGTCTTTCACTACCAGGCTTCTTCACACCGAGGCGATGGGCGCGTGCAACGTCAGTCGGTTGCCAAGTTTTGAATGTTGCGTTTTCATTAAGTACGGCGATCGCTTTTTCTTTACAGGCTATAGATTTTTCGCCTTCATCTTCATCAACACCATAGATAATGATATTATCTCTTCGGCTAAACGACTCGAGTTTATCAAGTTCAACATCAATTTGCGAAAGTTTGTCATTTATGATATCCACTGTCTCAGCAACCGCATCGACGTCAGATTGCATTACGTGGTTCTCAGCTTCAATTTTCTTCATGTCTGATTTCAGTTCCGAAACTGATTTTTCTAGATTGTCACACTTAGTTCCGATACTTTTGACTTCTGTTCTTAGATTAGAAATGTCGTTACCTAGGTCGGATTTGACGTTTCTCAGTTCGGCAAGGATTGCTTCTTTTATGTTGTTAAGATCTTGTAGGGTAACAGGCCCGGGGTTTGTCTCCACGTCATTTGCACACAGTAGCATAAGCGCTATGACACGCTTGGGTAGCATGTGCTCGGGGTTTGTCTCAACCTGATTTGTAGACAATAGTATAAGCGTCATAACACGCTTGGGTAGCTCGTGCATCTCACCTGGATCGCATACATTTCGTGTATGGGTCAACATCATGCAGTATGTGTTTGACGTGACGTCACCAAAGGTGTTGGGTGATACCTTGTTCAAATCACCAATAATATTATGATGATCATATGTTAAGTCAACAAAGTAGCTTGCAAATATCCTGTGATATTTAACACATAACGTTCCCAAACCCATGGTTAGACTGCAGACAATAGCCACACTCAGAAGTCGATATGCGAAGCTCATACCTGGTGTCCATCTTGTCTCACCTGTGTAGCGTTCAACCTTGTCGACGTTTCTATGTCCACGGGGAGGGATGAAACACCCGATCCTTGCTCGCCAAACATCGAGCGTTATACCCATAGTGATCTAGATGCAGATTTGGATGCAGAGTTGTATTAGTGAGCCATCTTTTCGACAATATTCACAATTTTGTAGGACAGCTGAAACCTGCGACTTCTCACCTTCACGCATGCGCTGTCCGGGGAAATATAGACATGTATGACGCTGTCTAGGGAAAATAACCAAGTTTATAGACACGCACGACAATGTACATAGTTTTATAGATCTGTACGACAGTGTACTGAGTTGTATTGATATGTTTTATTCAAACACGCAATGTCAACGGGCGCACATTGATAAGTGCACCACATCTCATCGCGAGCTCGCGGTGACGTCAGCGGATGGATATGACGGCTCGTAAACAGCGCAGAAATACCAGTGTTTATAAACACACACTTCGAAACGCAACACGCGGTCTTCTAGCCCCCCCATAGCTGTCTCGCGTGATCGTGATGGAATCTCTAAATATAAATACCTGATGAGTCTCGCTGATTGTGTATATGTACGACTCGCTGTCAATCTGCAATGTACCAGGGACACTTATTCCACACGATTGTATTCGGATTGTATGGACGAGTCCATGCTGATATAATTCTAAAGGACTTCCTATTTATAATATAATTGTGACACACGTTACATGGGAGGCGAGGTGAAATGGGGTTTAACGTTGTGTGTGTCTGTATGTGCGTGTGTGGCTGTGTCCGTGTATGTGCGTGCGCGCTAATGTCTGTTTTTAGAGCTAATTCACTGAAATGCAATACCGCAGTTTAACCGTACTCAGACACAGTATACTGACTCCGAGCCGACCAGTCCTTGTTTTAGCCCCTTAATGCCAGGCAGGTTAACAAAAAGTACCATATCTTAACGCGACCTCAAGGCAGACGTTCTATCCACTAGGGGGCGGTGGTGTAGCCTGTGATCAAAGCGTTCGCTCATCATGCAAGACCCAGGTTCCATGGGTAGTGTGTGAAGCCAATTTCTGGTGTCCCCCGCCGTGACGTTACTTGAATATTGCTAAAAGCGGCGTAAAACGATACTCACTCTCTCCACAAGACCACACACGTTACATTACTGCATTATTCGTATGGGTTTTTACCTAAAATCTAAATATGATACATTAATTATATAAGCTAGCGATTTCCGTACTGAGGTAGTTTGTGTTGCTATGTATGGTTATTCCAACTTGAAATGTAGCTGATAACGTTGGATATTTTTCCTTGTTCAAACAGCGATGTGTCTGTCCAGTGCCCCATGTCGACGTGTACATGGTGGCGCCGTGTTACAACGGTACGGGAATCAGGGCTCGAGGGAGCGTGAGAATCCCTTACAACAGTGGAGCGGTATGGGAGATCCCCGAGGGGAGGGGTTGTCTGTCTGGTGGAGGGGTATAGGAGATCCCCGAGGGTAGGGGTTGTCTGTCTGTACGTACCTGCCCCGCCGTGTCGAACAGCCCCAGCTGGTAGGGTGTGTCCCTGATCGTGACGGTCACTGAAACACAATCAGACAATTACAGTCACAGGGAGATAAGTAAAGGAGGCATGACATTTCTATTACAAACAGCATCGAATTTCCGTGGACATCCGGGGTAGAATAGGTCTTCAGCAACCCATGCCTGCCGTGAAAGGCGACTATGCTTGTCGTAAGAGGCGACTAACGGGACCGGGTGGTCAGACTTGGTTGATGCATGTCATCGTATCCCAACTTCGTGGATCGATGTTCATGATGTAAATCACTGGATTGTCTGGTCCAGACTCGATCATTTACAGACCCCCGTCATATAGCTGGAATATTGCTGAGTGCAATTTAAACAACAAACAAACAAACAACATCGAAATCTCCAAGTCTGACGTTTTGATTGATTGGTACAAGTGAACCACGTATGTTCAAAGGGCTTTAAGTCATAAAAACTTGTCAAAACAGGTTAAACGTGTAACAGGGTTCGTAATGGGGAGGTAGGGTTTTAACTTATCTTTAAATTTAACTTCAGCAACCACTCCACAATTGCACCAAACAGCCCTAGCTTCCGCCGGATCAACGTTTAGGGTCTTCGTTGATGAGAAACAATTTGTGTTTTTGTGTGGCTTTCACAATGAAACTATTAGTCACTGCCCCCGCCAGTATACAGTCGCCACTGCACCTAGATCGAGTTACATTGTGACAGTTGACAGCACCGTGAACACACAATACAACAGGCGACCTCCACTAAGTCTAGGTTTACATCTCAATACAAGAGAAGGGGTCATTGAGGACGGCTGTTCTGCACAACTCGACCAAACACAAAACTGTGGAAACTTCCATGACGTCTAGCATGAGGAAATATGCGCACTACCAACTTAAGATTAGTACTCAGTAACAATGACGTAATACATTCGCATGTACATCTAGGGAAATATGAAAATTATAGCACATCCCGCGAGCATCCCTTGTGTATCATCAGTCGGTGAGTGAATCATGCTTAACTCCGCAGTCAATTATAGTCCTGGTATCACGTTATATCACGACTGCTGTAAAAGTGGGTCGGACAAACAAATGGGTGATAGTATGAGCACCGAACAAAGCCATCAAAATACGCCAAGACAATCCTTTTTTACGTCGGTTTGTTCGACAAGCATGTAACTTCGTTTGTTTGTTGTTTAGCGCCGCAATAAGCAAAATTCCAGCTATATGACGGCGGTCTGCAAATAATCAGTCAGGACCAGACAATCCAGTGATTAACATCATGAGCATCGATCCACGCAATTTGGATACGATGACATTCATCAGCGAGCCTGACCACCCGGTCCCGTTTGTCGCCTCTTACGACAAGCATAGTCGCCTTTTACGACAAGCACTGAAGACCTCTTCTAACCCGGATTTACGATCGAGAAACACACGAGTGAGTGAGGTTGATTTCAACGCCGCTTTTAAGTTCCCAGATGTGGGAGGAAAGCCCGAAGTGATGCAGGTCTTAGATGTTTACCACTTTGGTGAAACCCTCGAGCACTGGTATGCTGCTGACAAATCAAGAAACATAATCGGGGCGAACAGGGATTCGAACCTACAATCTTAGGTTTCTGGCGTGCCCAAGAGCACTTGATCTTGATCCTGTAGATACACTGCATCAATCTGCTGACTAAGTTCTGTCTACTTGACCTGGGCCTCGTTCCACATTGCGATCCTAGAACTACGACTGTCGTAAGTCTATTTCAAAGAATGGACATACGATATCTTTGCGCTACGTTCGCTTTGTGGAACGGGGCCCGGGTGTAGCCGTCAGCTTGGCCCCGTCTCTAATATCGCAATAAGGCGCAAGTCGTGCGCATATGGAGCCGGGAACCAGCTTAGGTGAATACACAGGCACTAGGCTTTGTCTACTATACCTGATATAGCCGTACCGTTGCACTACTCTGCTGACTAGGTTCTATCTACCAGTACCGCTACACTACTCTGCGGACAGGTTATGTCTACCAGTACCGCTACACCAGTCTGCGGACAGGTTCTGGCTATCAGTACCGCTACACCAGTCTGCGGACAGGTTCTGTCTACCAGTACCGCTACACTAATCTGCGGACAGGTTCTACCTACCAGTACCGCTACACTACTCTGCGGACAGGTTCTGTCTGCCAGTACCGCTACACCACTCTGCGGACAGGTTCTGTCTATCAGTACCGCTACACTACTCTGCGGACAGGTTCTGTCTACCAGTACCGCTACACCACTCTGCGGACAGGTTCTGATGTATTAATTAACAGTGCCAGTGTATTGAGATAACTTCAAAGCGGAAGCTAGCGACGTGTGATTGATTGCGGCAACGTAATGGCTTGATTTGCTATAATTAGATATGAGCAGTTATAAATTGCACCTGGTGCGTTAACAACGTTGACAATGCGAAGCACGTTGCTGGGAATGTTGCGGTTACAGTGATGCAGTGCATTCCCTTAGCGCTATGTAGCATGTCAACAAAACTTTCCACGTCGTTGTGGGGGAGTTGGAGGACCATAGATATCCCCGCCCATCACAAGCCCCACTGGGTATTGATTTGTTTGGTTGTTGTTTAACGCCGAACTCGGCAATATTCCAGCTGTATGACGGCGGACTGTACATAAACGAGTCTGGACCAGACAATCCAGTGATTGATATCACGCAATTGGGATACGATGACATGCATCAACCAAGTCAGCTAGCCTGACCATCCGATCCCGTTAGCAAAGTCGTCTTTTACGGCAAGCATGGGATGCTGAAGACCTGTTCTACCCTGGATCCTCACGGGACGGTATTGATTAGTGCCGAGGCACGACCGTGCAGGTGGTATTGAGTATTTCCCTGCAAGCTGAACAATGCGTGACCGGAGAGCTGCTCACAACTAATATGAAACATTGGCTTATATCAAGCAACTAACTAAATGTTCTCAACTGTGAGTGTTAGTTTGCTTGGTGTTTAACGCCGCACTCTCAGTCTGCAATATTTGAGCTATATGGCGGCGGTCTGTAATTAATCGAGCCTGGACCAGACATTCCAGTGATTAACATCATGAGCATCGGTCATGCATCAACCATGTCAGCGAGCCTGACCTTCCGATGCCGTTAGTCGCCTCTGACGACAAGCATAGTCGCCTTTTACGGCAATCATGGGTTGCTGAAGATCAATTCTACCCCGGATCTTCACTGGTCTCAACTGTGAGTGAGTGAACTGAATGAGGGAGCGATGGAACTGTATTTTATGTCTGTTGATAAGACCTGGTGCACTCAAATCAGTCGTCATGGCGACACAGTCACTACAGTAGAATGCAGATGGTTATGTCGCGCGATGACTATCTTTAGTCTGTGTTCAAGTATGGGAAGGGGCACGGGTGGCCCAGTCGTCTAAGGCGCCACAATTCGCTGAGTTGCGTCCCTTGCGCACGCCAGAAACCTGTGATTGTGGGTTCGAATCCCGGTTCGCCCCGATTATGTTTCTAGGTTTGTCAACACCATACCCGTGCTCGTGGGTTTCACCGAAGTGGTAAACGTAAGACCTGCATCACTTCGGGCTTTCCTCCCACATTAAGCTGACACGCCGTGATATCACTGGAATACTGCGGCGTTAAACCAAACTCACTCATTCAAGTATGGGAATAACTACAGTCGGAGCTAAGATCGCTTTGTGTAAGGGGCTCTGTTCGGTGTGAAGTATTTCATTTGGTGTCTACTGGCCTGAGTGCCTTGACCTTCACTGAGGTACCCGACACCACTGCTCCATCTCCGCTACACGGAACGAACCATCGCAAGTCACACTACTCGTACATGTCATGTGCATTCGTGTACACACCAGTATCAACTGACACTATTGGCTTTTATGTCCAGTTTTTGTTAAAATTCATAAAATATGTAGCCGGTCAAGCCACCCTACCCTGCTTTCTCTAGACTCACAATCACAGAATGCCATATATTTATGATCTTTGGCACAGAGTTACGAAAACTGCCAGAACAGTCGAGTCTGTGATTTTCCGCAGATGGCGCCTATCGGAAGTATCGCATGTTGCAACAACAAGCAACGCAACTCAAACAACATCATCAGCTCCAACAACATTTCATCTGCGGCTTCCTCTAGAACGAATATATGGTCGGCTACAAAGCGAACACCGCCTAGCTACAACAGTATAGTGATCGTCTGCTGGATCAACTCTAAGAACCATGTTATGACATCGGTTTATTCCATATTCTGCTATATACGACCAGTCGTCTGTAATACGTATTGTTATCGTCTGCTTTGAGGCCATCAATCGTCTGCTTCCAGCAGATCTATCATTAACTCTCGCTATGTTGTTTTAGACGCGCTACGGGACTGTCAGTTCCCTGTGGGCGATCTGTGACGACCGGAGTGACAGTTTCCTGACAGATTCTGCTCAGTAAATACCCCTAAACGTCGACATAATATTTGATAATGAAACAGCGGCTAATCCCCACAGAACATATTTAATAGGCGACACAAAACAATTAGCGCGGCAGCGAGGAACTGGGTCAGTGCGAACTGGAGAGGAAACTACTATTGGGCCAGAAATGCTACATCGTATTTGCAGCGTTCCCAAATACAGTGTATAACTGACGATAGGGCCTCACGTAGACGGCGATGATAATGTATTAAATGGTGTGCACACAACCCATTAATACGATGTGTATTCTGACGGCGTTGCGTTTGCTCAGAGACCGAGATAGCGGTCGATAGCGAGATGGAAATATACTGGATGTAAATCATCTAAATCAGTCTCCCTTCATGTGTCAACATAAATTCCTCTCGAGTCAGTTTAGTAGACGAGTAGAACGCATGTGATCTGTTTCAATCCACTTGCTATAAGATCGCAACAGTAATTCTCTTAACTTGACAGGTTTAGTTAAAATTCATTTGTATCTTAACCTATGTGCTTCTGCTCGTATATCATTCACAAACTATGTTTTATTCCAAAGTACGTGTCGGATTTCTGCTTGCGGATAACAATTGACCCAAGTGAAGGAGTGGGTGGATTGGATCTG